GTTCCCAGGAAAAATCTGTGGCATTGTCTCATGTGGTGTGATGACAGAGGAATGAAATTGATTTTTACCAGACACTCCAGAAATAAACATTATCTCTTTTAGCTCAGTAAGTGCATGGAAACCGTGTTAGGGTTAAGGTCAACCTGGAAGGAAATTTCAAACACATGCTTAACAATTTATTGATGGCTTAGATCAGGATCTTGTAGGCAAGACAAGGGGAGGGATGACAGAGCCCGGGAGCTAAAATATATCGAAGGACTAGATTGATGTGCCTAGAGTAAGGCATTTGGGTCCAAAAAAAACTGATTTCTCATCTAGAAAATGTGAAGAATGTGACTTGGTAGCAACACATTTGAACAAAGTTTTGGGGGTCTGGCTGATAAAATTGTTTCAAATCTTTCTTGTTAGTATTGCATGCCCACTGACATCCCAGAGGTCAATTCAGTTTCTAAGCAAAGGAAAACTGATCTTTCTCTTCTGCCAGGAATAGCTTACTCAGGTCTTGGGGTACACACTGACCAGTGGGCCTCTTTCTTATCATCCCAGTTAAAATCCCTTTCTCTCTATATATATTTTGCAACTTTAACAGTTCAGTTTTTTGGCAATATATTGAACATATTTAAAGCATACAAATTTATCAGTATTTTTTTATCTGTATACATCCCATGAAACTATCACTACAATCAAGAAAAACATATTCATAGCCAGGTGCGGTGGCTCACACCCATAATCCCAACACTTTAGGAGGTCGAGGTGGGCAGACCACCTGAAGTCAGGAGTTCAAGACCAGCCTGGCCAACATAGTGAGACCTCATCTCTACTGAAAATTAAAAAATTAGCCGGGCGTGGTGGCGGGCACCTGTAATCCCAGCTACTTGGGAGGCTGAGACAGGAGGATCGCTTGAGTCCAGGAGTTCCAGGCTGCAAGGAGCCAAGATTGCACCACGGCACTCCAGCCTGGGAGACAGAGAAATACCTTGACTTTAGAAGAATAAAAAATAAATAAAAAATAAAAATGGCTGGGCATGGTGGCTCACGCCTGTAATCCTAGCACTTTCGGAGGCCGAGGCAGGCAGATCACTTGAGGTCAGGAGCTCAAGACCAGCCTGGCCAATACGGTGAAACCCTGTCTCTACTAAAAATACAAAAAACTAGCCAGGCATGGTGGCAGGTGTCTGTAAACCAGCTACTCGGGAGGCTGAGGCAGGAGGATCACTTGAACTGGGGAGGCGGAGGTTACAGTGAGCTGAGATTGCACCACTGCACTCCAGCCTGGGCGACGGGATGAGACTCCATCTCCAAAAAAAGAAAAACATATTCATTACCCCCAGAATTTCCTCATGCTTCTCTGTAATTCCTCCCTCCCTCCACCCCTATCCCTAGGCAACTGTCATTATAGATAAGTTTGCATTTTCCAGAAGTTTATGTAAATGGAATCATATAGCGTGTGCTCTTTTTTGCCTGGCTTCTTTCACTCAGCATAATGATCTTGTGTTTCATCCATATTGCTGCAGATATCAATAGTTTGATCCTTTTTATTGCTGAGTGGCATTCCATTGTATGGATATATCACAATTTATTGATCTATTCACCTACTGATGAAACTTCAAAAAAATTTTAGCCATTCTAATAGGTGTGACCACTGAGATTTTAATTTTGTTACAGGATGTTTTCCCCTGGATGTTCTTTCGGTTCTTTTTAAAATCTGCTATGTCATTAGAAATTTTTTCTGCTCTCTGAAAATATTTTACAAGCTTATTATTGATTTGTAAAAACCTGGGCTAGGCGCGGTAGCTCATGCTTGTAATCCCAGCACTTTGAGAGGCTAAGGTAGAAGGATCACTTGAGCCTAGGAGTGGGAGATCAGCTTGGGCAACATAGTGAGACCTCATCTCTACAAAAAAAAAAAAAAAAAAAGAAAAAGAAAAAAATTAGCTGGGTGTGGTGGTGCGCGCCTGTTGTCCCAGGTACTGGGAAGGCTGAGGTGGGTGGATTGCTTGGGTCCAGGAGGTCGAGGCTGCAGTGAGCTGTGATCATGCCATTGCACTCCCGCCTGGGTGACAGCACAAGACCTTGTCTCAAAAACAAACCAACCAACCTGGTAAGCTTATTTTAAAAATCTTTGTCTCTTAATTCCAATACATGCAGTAGGTTTGGATTTGTTTCTATCATCTGTCATTTCTGTTGGGTCTTACTTGTTTCCTTGTGTGCCCGATAATTTTGACTTGCTGGCTACTGCCCTGGAAAAAGTTTATGTCGGGTGGATAGGATGAAGTTAGTGGGGGTTAGGATAAAAGTGTTTGCCTTCATATGAACCCGGGAGGCGGAGCTTGCAGTAAGCCGAAATCACGCCACTGCGCTCCAGCCTGGGCCACAAAGCGAGACTCCGTCTCAAAAAAAAAAAAAAAGTCTTTGCCTTCAGAGACTTTCTTTCTGTTTACACCATACATCTGAAATTATTAGTAAAGGAAGGGGAAACTTCAAATCAAGTACATGGCTTCAGCTCCCCTGGCTGCCCCAGGCTATGTGTACCTGGGTGCAAATCCATTCAAGGTGGACTGGTGGCCGCAATTTTTTCAGGGGAAGTTTGTTCCCAATTTCCTCATCTTTTGCTTTGCTCAGTGACAAGGCAGCTTTCTCTATAGTCTTCCGGTGTTGAAGGGAAATAAGGGCATGCTTATCTGTCTCCTTTTATCCTGGGGGGATTGCCTTTTGCACTCCTAACAATGAGGAGTGTCTTCTAACAGATTTCCCAACTTGTACTGGCCTTAGATCTTAACCGTGGTTCTCTGGCACAGAAATGTTCAGTAATGACAAATGCCCTGTTTGCAAAATGGGCCATGTGGTAACTCTGATATTCCACTTATCATTCTGATTAAAGGCTTTCATATAAACATTGGTCACTGAGGCCTGGTGCGGTGGCTCACGCCTGTAATCCCAGCACTTTGGGAGGCCGAGGCGGGCGGATCATGAGGTCAGGAGTTCAAGACCAGCCTGGCCAACATGGTGAAACCCTGTCTCTACTAAAAATACGTGGTGGCGGGTGCCTGTAATCACAGCTACTCGGGAGGCTGAGGCAGGAGAATCGTTTGAACCTGGGAGGTGGAGGTTGCAGTGACCCGAGATTGTGCCATTGCACTGTAGCCTGGGTGACAGGGCGAGACTCCGTCTCAAAAAAAAAAAAAAAATTGGTTACTGAGCTCCCCGATACCTCTTTTTATTCCCCCGAGACGGACTCTCACTCTGTTGCCCAGGCTAGAGCGCAGTGGCGCAATCACGGCTCACTGCAACCTCTGCTTCTCAGGCTCAAGCAATTCTCCTGCCTCAGCGTCCCAAGTAGCTGGGATTACAGGTGCCTGCCATCACACCTGGCTAATTTTTTTTTTTTTTTTCGTATTTCGAGTATAGACGGGGTTTCATCATGTTGGTCAGGCTATCTTCGAACTCCTGACCTCAAGTGATCCGCCTGCCTCGGCGTCTGGAAGTGCTAGGATTACAGGTGTGAGTCACCGTGCCTGGCCCCTGATACCTTTTCAGCTATTCAGTGCTTTCAAGGTCATTTTAAAACATATTTTCTGTAGCACTTTTCATTGTTTTTTCATCCGGAGGATTTATCCAAATAATCTCATCCATCATTACGGGAAATAGGAAGCAAATCTGCTTTTTGCACTGCCATCACTCAGGATTCCTCCAGAGGACTCAGAGTTCTAGACACTGGTAAAACGTTTATATAGATGATCTGACTAGGCAGAAGAGGTCTGGAATCTACACAATTATTTTCAATAAATGCCCATAATATATGGTAACACTAAAGAAGACATTTTGTAAAATGTAAATATCAGTAAGAATATAATGGCATCATCATGACAACGACTTAGAGATTGCTTTCCTCCTGCTTATGCTTAAACTGTTTCTCGAAGATCAGACTGGAAGACAATGCCAGATGGAAGGCTGCTGCTTCTCCATTTGGGCCCACGTTTCCTTATGTATAAAATGATGGTATCTGAAGTCCTCATCAGCTCCAACATTCTAAATTTAATACTAGTTTTTGGGGAAACATGGGATAGCTGAAAGAGGCGATCAAGCAAAAGAGATTAACTGACAGATCTCTTAACTAGTGAGAAAAATAGATAAAAGCAGGAAGAAATTTCTATGGACTCGATGTCTTCAGTCTCTTTTAGCTGGGTTCAAATATTTTAGGAGGAACTGGCAGAATGCTTAACGGCTGTTATTTTTGCCACATGAAACAAAACTCAGACATTATCTCTTTTGTGCTAGAAATAATCTGGTATATCGCCCAAGTACCAACAAAGGTAAAACCATCAATATTTTCCAAAAGACAGTTCAACTAAGGAAACTGTAATAATAATAGCAGAAATAGATTTTATCAAAACATACAGTGATCTGTGACTCCTCTTCCCTCAGTTAAAAACAGTGCCTAAAACCCCTAACTTTAGCCTGCTTTTAGGGCTTAAACTTTCTAGCAGAAAAGGTATTTTTAAACGACTGGCAAGGTAAAGAACAAAGCTTCTGACTACCCTTTTCTTCTAACAGTGAAATACATTTTATCTTCAAATACTCTGAGTGACACTGAAGCGCTGCACCTACGTTTTTTGCTGCTGGTGGGATGGGATGGGCATGAAAGCATGTAGAAGGGCAAGGAGAAGGTACATTTTAAAAATGCCATTCTAAAACAATTGCAACAGCATATAGGAGTGGAAGGCTCTGCTCTGAGACCATGACTTGGCTCAGGGCTGGTCAACGAATCTCTTTCCAGACCTTCCTTTCTTTGTGTGTAAAATGAAGCCCTGACTCTGTAACTGGGATCTCACTAGATACTGAAGATATAGAATTCTTGGATGACTAATTTAAATTTTGTTTGGCTCGTAAAGGAAGGAATATATCAAACAGGTTTTACACTCTAAAATAATATAAAATTGGAAAATGGATGGTCAGGGCTTAGTTTTCATAATCAAGCAAAATAAAACACGCATAAAAACATACCATTCCTGAAGTTCAGGAGAAGGAATGAGACCCGCGGTTCCATTTTTGGAGTTTTCCAGTTTACCCTGCCACCAATTATGATCATCCTTACTAATAATCTGGATGATGTCACCAACTCTGAATCGAATGCCAGCTTCTTTGCAGGGGATGAGGTCATCCTTGGCTGGATCATATTCAAATTGTGCTCTTACATAGATCTATAAAACAGGAGTTTGTAAGAAAGGATGCCATAGTGATGTGAAAGAGAAGTTAGCTCTAATGTCATAACCACACAGCAACACTTACAATACTAACAGGACATCAGATGGTGAAAGCAAAAACGATGCATGGAAATACGACACAAAAAACTTCTACCGCTAGACAATGTACTAGTAATCTTTGATGTGTATAGCTTCAAAACTTGGCTGTTTTTATTTGGAAGGAATACTTGAAATACTTGTTTAATAAGAATAAAGACTTAATTTATGCTTTTACTATAACAGAATAGGCCTATAATTATAGAAAAGTATGCTTGCTCTTTTTTAAACCTGCATTGGTGATGCTGGCATTATGGATAAGTTGTCATGACTGTGTGGCAGCCTTTAAGCCATAAATACTAGCAGTCAGGATAGGTTTTAACCCTAAAGCAGCACATGAATTAAAACTAGCAAGAACTCTGGGTTGGTATCCTGCTGTAAAAATGCTTATATGACAACTGGCAGTGTGTCTACACACTGCTGATAAAGTTAAGTGTAACTCAAACAATTTTTTTAAAAGTTAAAAAAATAGCTTTATTTTTTTCTAATTTAGGTTTTAGGTTTGTATTTTACTCTTCTGAGAGAATAAAAATGAATTTGAACCCTAGTTTCCCCAATGTAACACTTGAAATCAGCACAGAGCTTCAAGACATGCATAGTTCCAGGTTCTGAGTTTTATGATATGTGAATTTACTTAGGAAATAGATTAGCATTCAAGGGTTTATTATATGGCAGCATTTTATGAATTATTTGATTTTTAAATGCTTTAAGATAAGGTAATTCATATCCCATGTTGCATCAATTATACAGTCTTAAGACAAAATTATGGGTGAATTCTATCAGGTACTAATTTATACATATCTTAACACTAAATCTGATTATTTTTAATACTATATTTCAAGATAAAAATGCCATAAAAATTCTATCTCTTGAAATTAAAATTGAATATTAATGTTTAAGTCACTGTAAAACCAACCTGAAGACTTTGGAACCACTGTGTGATTTTTTCTGTTTATTTTCAGCAATCCAGCCTATAAAATTAACAAGTCTCTGCATTTGCATTTAAAATCTATACCTCTAAAGTGCTGGCAATTTGAAAGTTACTCGCCAGTGTTAGGCAGCACTTAACTTTTCATGTTTGAACTAGCACAGGCATATCAGGATGTAAAGCCAAGATAATTTATATTCTTTTCTTATTTTTCATTGCAAATGGCTTTTAGAAATACACATGCAAATACAAACTTAAGAAAAGCTTTCAACTTCAGAAAACTGTTGCTTAAAAATGTTCATCAGCAGGTACTTTTTAGTTATTCTTAGAATTCTAAGAATGTTATAACCTTTAAAATTCTTTTGCATGCCAGAGGCAGGCCCATAAGCCCCCCCGTAGGATGAATTCTTAACCGTTAATATAAAATTATCAGGTTGAAATTACAATAACCATCACAGCTACAAAGATGTGAGGAAAAAATTCTTTATAGAGAATTAGTCATGTGTAATGTGTTAAAATGAAATGGTACAAGCTCTCAATGCTCAAATGTTATGGTCCAAAATGCAAACATTATGGGATGGAAAGGGTTAATAAAGGATTGGCTATTAGCAGCTCAGTTTAGAGAAGTTTCTATAGAGGATATCTATTCACCTGTCGTCCTTTTGGTTGGGTAGTTGATGGCAAGTCCTGTAGAATAAAGCCAACCCAGGAGAAAAATTTTCATTTATTTTTCAAGAGTACAAAGTAATTTGTGTGTTCTGTTACAATATGGTTAAAAAAATGAGCTAGATTTAAGTTGTAAAGAGATAATATACATTATTCCATTTCTCAGAAATGTTGAGTTATCAAAAAAATCAAACCCAGGCCATTTAGCAGCAAGCTGAAGAAAGCAGGTAAGTTTAAGCAGAGAGATAATGTGTTCTTAAGAAACAACTCAGCATCTTCAACACAAAAGCCACTGCAAGTGAAACAGCCTATTAAAAATAAATACATAATAAATAAAAGGAGCTGTTGCCCTTTTCAACTTAGTCACTGCAACCATTTAGATTTTGAAAATTCAATGGCTATATGGCTTTTCATCTTAAAGCATTAAATGTTAACTGTTACGAATGAATTCCTTTGGTAGCCTATTTTAAAGTTGAAAATAAAGTCGTAGAAAATTTTCTTTCATAATTTCTCTTACTGATATACTTAGAATATCATTCCATTTGAGATAATTTCTAAATTATTTACAATTTTACCTAATAAAAAGTTGATACATTCTCAAATGGCAAATTAAAAGTCAGGATAGAAGAATACTGCTGCATTATTAGAACTCTCATAATTTTAACTGGGTGATAAACAGCAGTATTAGCAACAAAAATATTGCCAACCTGCACCTGTTAAGTGCTTCCATTTGTTTAAATAAGTTAAAACAATTCTTTCTATATTCCAAAATGGATAGTTCTGAAAAAATTTAAACTCCAAGTTCAAGTCAAATATAAAGTACTTTGTGTTAAAGATGTGATAACAGCGTGGCTTAAGTGCAGTTTGAAGCCAGTTCTTTTTGCTTTTCATATCCAGGCAAGGCTTATAATTCACAAAATATGTGCACGTACCACAATAACAGAGGGCACACAATTCGTAAACTTAGATAGCGGAAACTAAAACATGTTGCTGATATCACTCAGAATAGAAAACTACAAAGCCCAAGAATACCCAAATGCCTACTCTGCAAATTTTTACATTTATCTTTTTCAAATTAAAAATATTTAGAAGTTTAAACAAATTTCCATTTACATCGTTTGTATAGGTTTGAGCAAAGAAATACATACAAGTGGGGTGGCATAGAAATATTTTTAGAATGACCAAAGCAGTATTGAACTACATTTCTTCAAATTTAACTGCTGAAGGGAATTTTTAATGAGAAGGAAATGTTAAAAAAGATTTTCCAGGAGTAAAGTGCATTGTAGCTGTAGTAGCCTTGTATATCAGCAGAAGACACTATTTCCACTGAACACATGTAACTAGAACACTCATGGCAGGTGAGCACCAACAAAATTGTCACACTTTGCTGTGTGGAGCTAAAGTTCTTACCGAAACAGAATTGTTAGTGCTGCTATGACCATTAGCTGGGGACTGTCTGGAAGTGGAAGGGGAATCTCTCTGAAATAAGACACAAGGTTCATTAACACAGAACACCAGCACAGAAACACAGAGATATTTACATCAACAGTAACAACCACAGTCTGACAACCATTTCCTTTGAGGTTTGAGCTGCATAAGTGCCATACTGACTTGCTTGCATGATTTCACAGAAGTATGAAAAAATTTTGCAGTTCGAAGGCTCACATATTATAAGTGATGACCGTGTCATTCATTTTAATCAATTCTTTCCTATCTCTAACATTCTATACCTTTTCTTTCTTTTAATGAGACCTAGAAGAGTGACTTGATATTAAACCCTATCAAGTATAAGATGACAAATATTACTATAAAATTATTGTGCTGAAGATCCCAACTGCCTAATTTTTATTAAAGATTAGGTTTGAAAAGCATTTAACAATTTTTAGTACCTCAGTGTCAAGAGTTACTAACTGACCCAATCTGAAGAGAAACAAACCTAAGATTTCACATGTTATAATTCCTTCAGAATCTTTCTATTATAGAATAAATATTATTACTAGTAAGGGTAAAAGAGATATAGATCAGAGAAGAACTCTTTTTAAAGACCATTTTAGTAGATTGATTAAAACAATGATCTCAAGCCTATAATAATATTACACTTCCGGCAAAGATCCTAGGAGCCACAGCCTCTCTACCTATATCCAGGCTCCTCCATCGCTTGCTTTCTCTCTACTATTCTACACACTCAAAATATTTTCCAGGCTCCATTCCTTAGTGTCTAAATCAACTTTAATGATAAGAACAAGGAGAGGTAGGAAATAAGTACTTTTAAATTTTTGTTTCTGTAGAGTTCTTTTAAGCCTTAGAAATGTGCATGTCTCTTTAAAAGGCATTTGTTTTTTTCCCTAGATGACTTAAGAGCATTTCTAGAACCTGTTAGCCTTAAAGGTAATGAGATCCCTTAGAAGAGCATTCTCATATGTTAGTGAGCAAGACTGATCTCCAGGTGCCACCCGCAGAGACTCAAGTCAGTAGAGCCAGGGTGAGGGGCAGGGGTCTACTCTTTAACCAAGGACCTGGGGGATGCAGATGCAGGTGGCCAGAGAGCCTTCTTTTTTTTTTTTGAAATATTGCCCTAGCTGGGAAGAGTCCAACCACAAGCTTGAATTCTGCCAGGGAACACGAGGGCCAAAAAGGCTGGGGATGGAGCTAGGAGAGAAGTATCATTATTTTTCCTACTATTCAAAGGCAAAGAAGGTAAGAGGGGTTCTTTTTACTCAAGAACATAGAATTTACATCTATGATACTGGTTCCACCCCAAACTAGTTCGACCACTTAAAATACAAAAGAGAAACTTACGTTATATTAATAACTAACAGTACCTTCTAGTTAGTTAGCCAAAAAGACAAAAATCAATTGTATTTACTAAATTTCTTCAACAGATGGGAAATGATGTAAGGACATCTGTAATTCTAGAATATTAAAATTATTTACATAAAATGTTAAGTGTGACATTCTTTGTTTCCCAGCAAAGTTTGTGCTCTAGGTAACAAATTTCAATGCTCTGAATCCTGGAACAGAAGCAATTCTGCATTTTCTTTTGAAATATACTATTAATTGAAGTTCCACAAAAAGCCACCAAGAGGAGCTCAAGACCCGTTATAACGGACACCTCAACTGCCATGGCTCACCAAAAATACACTTGACAAAACTACACATTTTAATATGTATCTGCAATAGGTTTTAAAAAAATATGAAGCCTCTGATTTTTCTTATAAAATTTACACCATCACTAGAGACTAGAAGTATTACAGTTTCTCTCTCAGGTTCTTCTAAGTACAAATCCAATAAGTTACCTGTCAGTCCTAAAAATTAACTTTAGGAAATGTGTACTTCATATTGATGCACACATTCTTAGAAGATGCACATGAAAGAACAAGCTTCAATAAATAACACTCGAGCTGAATGTGCAATGACCAAAGGATGATACCATTTATGCCCGTTTATATTTCCAATATAAAAAGAATAGATTTTTGAATCTCATTTAATAACTAACACGAAACTGAATAATATAGGTTAGAAGAACTATAATTTCTATAAGATAAACCTATTTTAAGAAAGAAACTTTGGGGCTGTATTACTCTAGAAAACTTACTTGTTTACAGATGACATACCATTCTAAATTTAAACAATTTTACAAAAGGTTGCAAAAGCCTATTTCCCTCTAGTGAAGTCAATTATCAATTCATTGCAGACTTAACTTCCATCTAGAGACCTATCGCAATTATATGAACAACTCTATCTCAACAGAAATAGATCACTTCTCAGATTCTTGGAAAGAAGAACTATCTATGTGATTTCTTAACAAGGGAAGTGAATGAACTTCCTGGAAATATTATTGCAATTATGGCCTTTAGTTTCTTTCCCTCAGACACTCCGTTTTTTCCTTATTAAGCCTTATGTCATTATTTATAACTTCTCTACATTTTGCTCAGATTTCAGCCTGCAAAAGTTCAAGTGCTGAGGAGATCCACATGGAAGCAGGGCTGAGTAGGTGGATGGGACCTACTCTGTTCCGTTATCTTTGTTGTAAAATTGGTGTGCAGTGATCTAACAGCACAGGCAGAAACAATCTCCCAGAAAGCAAAAACATACAGCCATCAGCAGACAGTTAGTTAAGAACTCAGAGGAGATGGGGGTGGTTTGTTAGAGTCATTACCTCACAGGATGAAGACTGAGTACGGTAACTTGGCACAATCTTGAAGGTAATACTCCCCCGCATTTCCCTCTGGAGAGGGGGAAAAAAAGATAGAAAAGTTTTCTTACAAACAAATGTTCGCAAAACCATGTAAGAAGCCACTCAAAATATGTGGGGGCAATTAGCACAAGCCATCTGAGAGCACATAGCCCAACAATGAAACCTAGTCATGAAGCAGGGAGTTAACAGTAGAGGAAGTTCCTGGGAAAAGCCCAGCAGCCGATTGCCTTACTCATACAGCAATGGTCTCACAGATCTTCAATGGTCACCTTTTTATAGACATGAATACAAACTTTCTAAGTGACATGCCTTTCAAAAGTGAATATACATTGAATTAGATAATAAACTAGGTAATTACATAAAAATTATATTGAGTATGCCACATTATAATGGTATACCCCATCGAATACGCTTTTTACTTTTTAAAAATTTTTATTTATTTATTTTGAGAGAGTCTTGCTCTGTCATCCAGGCTGGAGTGCAGTGGCAGCATCTCGGCTCACTGTAACCTCTGCCTCCCAGGTTCTGGTGATTGTCCTGCCTCAGCCTCCCAGGTAGCTGGAATTATAGTCATGTGCCACCATGCCCTGCTAATGTTTGTATTTTTAGTAGAGACGGGGTTTCACCATGTTGGCCAGGCTGGTCTCGAACTCCCAACTTCAGGTGATTCGCCCACCTTTGCCTCTCAAAGTGCTGGGATTACAGGTGTGAGCCACCGCACCCAGCCACTTTTTGCTCACTAATTTTGGCTTTAAAAAAATTTTTTGGTGAGTCTGTAAAGTTTATTTCATACTTAATAGGTATTCATAACCTGGGGGCTACTACACTGCAGTGGGAAAAGGGACCAGAGGCCCAAAACACCTCTGTCTGCTTGCTATGACAATCAACACAGGCAAAGGCTGTCATTTTGCCTTTTTTAAAAATCCAAAGCCTAATTCGAATACAGATTTTGAATATGTATGGTCAAAAATGGCCTGGTCTACCGTGGCTTTCCTCCCTTCTATGCTGTAGAGAAATCCACGACAGCTGGCTATGACTCAGCTCAACAGGAAAGAGGTTTCTGACACTGCTGATGTCAGGAGAGTTGAGGTCAGTGAGAAACTAGTTCACATGTATAAACGCTGAAAAGGTTTTCTTTAAACATCTGCTTAGTAAGAAACAGGAGATAAAGGATAAAAGGAGAGTGTTAAAGCCCACATTGCTAAAGACAGGCAAAATGTTTGTAAACGCTATTGTATTTCAACATTTTTCTAGTTGTCAGTTTTGTGAATGTTATATAAGTTCAAGTCCACATAAATATGGTACCAGAAATTCTCTGATTACAGAATACTCCTCATTTGTATATTTAAAACAAGCTAACAGAGTAAAAGTCAATTTTAGGAAAGGAAAAACTTTCATTTACTTACAAGCATTTTTTGCAGCTGTTCCACTGTTTGGTTGGCCACACTGATGCCATTGATTTCTCGAATTTCATCACCAACGTGAAGTGTACCTAAGAAATTATATAACATTATAAACATGAAATGATATATGCTTTTATAGTAACAAAATCCAGAGGCATTAATGTAATTTTTAAAAACTAAGTTGAATATTGAGGGCCAATATTTCAGAGACAGACACAAGTTTGGTTGCAGCAGAATTATTTAACTCATGTAGTAACCTCATCAAAACAGATATATCTACTTATGGAAGGCACAGTTTTGATGGATGGCTGCAGAAATCTGTTTATTTTTCTGAGAGAGGTGGTATGTATAGTGGTTTAAAAGTATGGCTTCTGGATCCAGACTGCCTGGGTTCAAATTCCCGCTTCCTTGCTTACTAGCTTTAAGATCTTGGGTAAATTACTGGAACTCTCCATATTTCAGTTTTTACATTTGTAAAATGGAGATGAAAACAGTACCCATCTCATGGATTGTTTTAAGAGCTAAACAAATTTAATATATGCAGAAGGCTTAGAACTGTTCTTGGCGCATACCAAGCACCATGTCAGTGTTTCCTGCTATCGTTATCTGCCAGATATGATACGAAGGTTGTTAATTTTCCAAGAGTTGTGACATGATAATATCTACATAACAGCAAGTTCCGTTAAACATAATTTAATCTTTGGTTGGCATTTCAGCATCTTGTAATACTTCAGCTAGAAAGAAATGACCAAGAACCAATGCGTAGAGCGTTATTTACAATTTTGCTTCCTTATTTATAAATCGTGCACAAATTTACATACTGACCTGGCTTCATTACAAAAAGATAACTCCGCATGCAACAATTAAAGAATAAACATTCATCTTAAGTACACATGGGCCATTTATAAAAATGATTAAAGTGCTATGCTATAAAGCAAGTCTCGACAAACCTCAAAGAAATGGTGTCATACAGACTACATTCTCCAACCACAATGCAATTAAGTTAGAAGTAAATTACAAAAGATATACAGAAAATCCCGTAAGTGTGAAAAGTAACAGAAAATTATAAATAACTTATAGGTCAATGAAAAGTATCATAATAGAAATGTAAAAATACTTAGAATTGAGTTATAAAAATGCTTCATATCAAAAACTGGTGGGATACATTAAGACAGTATTTACAGGGAGAGTTTAGTCTTAAATGCACATATTAGAAAAGAAGGCTGGGCCAGGCACGGTGGCTCACACTTGCAATCCCAGCACTTTGGGAGGCCGAAGTGGGCGGCTCACGAGGTCAGGAGTTCGAGACCAGCCTGGCCAATATGGTGAAACCCCGTCTCTCCTAAAATATAAAAATTAGCCATGTGTGGTGGTGGGCACCTGTAATCCCAGCTACTTGGGAGGCTGAGGCAGGAGAATCGCTTGAACCAGGAAGCAGAGGTTGGAGTGAGCACAGGTCGCACCATTGCACTCCAGCCTGGGCGACAGAGCGAGACTCCATCTCAGAAAAAAAAAAAAAAAAAAAGAAAAAGAAAAGAAGGCTGGGCATGGCGGCTCATGTCTATAACCTCAGTGTTTTGGGAGGCTGAGGCGAGAAGACCACTAGAGGCCAGGAGTTTGAGACCAACCTGTGCAATAAAGCAAGACTCTATCTCTACAAAGTATTAAAAAAATTAGCTGGGTGTGGTTGCTTGTAGTCCTAACTCAGGAATCTGAGACAGGAGGATTACTTGAGCCCAGGAGTTTAAGGAGGTTGCAGTGAGCTATGATTATGCTACTGCATTCCAGCGGCTGATGGAGCGAGACCCTGTCTCAAAAAAAAAAAAAAAAGAAAGAAAGAAAGACTGGAAATAAATGAACTATGTGTCAAATTTGTAAAGTTAGCTAAAACTAATAGAAAGTTAAAAAGAAGGAGATAATAAAAATTAGGTCATAAAACAATGAAACAGAAAATAAACATATAATGAAGAGAATGAACCAAACCCAGAGTGGGTTTCTGAACAAACCTCTGGCAAGGTTGATCAAGAAAAAAAGAGTAGGCACAAATAAACAATACTAGAAATGAACAGGGGACGTAATGACAAAGACGGCAGAGAATAAAAAGGTGAGAGAATACTATGAAGAAGCTCTCTGCAATAATATTTTAAAACTTAGATTTTTTAAGGAAAATGTAATTTACCAAAACTCACTCAAGAAATAGAAAGCCTGGATGGCCTTTTAATGTTAAAGAAATTGAAGCAGTTGTTAAAAAACAAAAACAAAACTTTCTTAAAACTAAAAACCAAAACGCCAGGCTCTGATACTTTTATAGGCAAGTCCTACCAAACTTTCAAGATACAAATCATTCCAATATTATATAAAGTCTTTCAGAGAACTGAAGAGGGAATACTCTCCAAGTCACTGTATGAGGTAGATATAACTTTGAAACTAAAATCAGGCAGAGATATATAAGAGAGGAAAATTAACTACGGGCCAGTCTTACTCATAAATGCAAATAGTGAGATCTTATAAACAAAACATTAGCACACGGTCAGGCAGTACATAAAAAAGATAATATGTAATGACTAAGCTGAGTTTATCGGAGAAATGCAAGGGTGGTTTATCATTAGGAAATCTTTAAAAGACATTCACCACATTAACAGATAAAAGGAAAAAAACAAATGATCATCTCAGCAGATACTGAAAGAGCATTTGATTAAATTCAAAACCCATTCCCATTTAAAATGCTCAGCAACTACAAATATAAAGGAACTTCTTTAGCCCCATTAAAAGGTATGTACTAAAAATCTACATTATTCTTAATGAATAAATATTGGAAAGGTTCTTTTTTAAAAAAACATTTTTTTTCCCCTAGAGACAAGGTCTCTCTCTGACACCCAGGCTGGAGTACAGTGGCGTGATCATAGCTCACTACAGCCTCAAAACTCCTGGGCTCAAGCAATCCTCCCACTTCAGCTTCCTGAGTAGCTGGGACTAGAGGCGAGCACCACCATGCCCGGCTAATTTTAAATTCCTTTTAAAATAAGAATATGACAGGATGTCTACAATACCACTCCTTGAAAGACTGCAGGTCCTAGCCAGTGCAGTAACATAACAAAGAGAAGTTAAAGAAATAATGATGTTCCCCACTGTCAATATCAGACAGATCAACGAGACAGAAGGTTAACAAGGATATCCAGGACCTGAACTCAGCTCTGCAACAGGCAGACCTAATAGACATCTACAGAACTCTCCACCTGAAATCAACAGAATATACATTCTTCTCAGCACCACATCGCACTTATTCTAAAACTGACCACATAATTGGAAGTAAAGCACTCCTCAGCAAATGTAAAAGAACAGAAATCGCAACAAACTGTCTCTCAGACCAGAGTACAATCAAATTAGAACTCAGGATTAAGAAACTCACTTAAAACCACACAACTACATGTAAATTGAACAACTTGCTCCTGAATGACTACTGGGTAAATAACAAAATGAAGGCAGAAATAAAGATGTTCTTTGAAACCAATGAGAACAAAGATACAACATACCAGAATCTCTGGGACACATTTAAAGCAGTGTGTAGAGGGAAATTTATAACACTAAATGCCCATAAGAGAAAGCAAGAAAGATCTAAAATCGACACCCTAACATCGCAATTAAAAGAACTAGAGAAGCAAGAGCAAACAAACTCAAAAGCTAGCAGAAGACAAGAAATAACTAAGATCAGAGCAGAACTGAAAGAGATAGAGACACAAAAATCCCTTCAAAAAAATCAATGAATCTAGGAGCTGGTTTTTTGAAAAGATCAACAAAATTGATAGACCGCTAGCAAGACTAATAAAGAAGAAAAGGGAGAAGAATAAAATAGACACAATAAAAAATGATAAAGGGGATATCACCACCGATCCCACAGAAATACAAACTACCATCAGCGAATACTATAAATACCTCTACGCAAAGAAACTAGAAAATCTAGAAAAAATGGATAAATTCCTGGACGCCTACACTCTCCCAAGACTAAACCAGGAAGAAGTTGAATCTTTGAATAGACCAATATGTTGGCTGTGAAAGTGAGGCAATAATTAATAGCTTATCAACCAAAAAAAGTCCAGGACCAGACGGATTCACAGCCGAATTCTACCAGAGGTATAAAGAGGAGCTGGTACCATTCCTTCTGAAACTATTCCAATCAATAGAAAAAGAGGGAATACTCTCTAACTCATTTATGAGACCAACATCATCCTGATGCCAAAGCCTGGCAGAGACACAACAAAAAAAGAGAATTTTAGACCAATATCCCTGATGAACATTGATGCAAAAATCCTCAATAAAATACTGGCAAACCAAATCCAGCAGCACATCAAAAAGCTTATACCCCACGATCAAGTCAGCTTCATCCCTGGGATGCAAGGTTGGTTCAACATACGCAAATCAATAAACGTAATCCATCATATAAACGGAACCAAAGACAAAAAACACTTGATTATCTCAATAGATGCAGAAAAGGCCTTTGACAAAATTCAATGGCCATTCATACTAAAAACTATCAATAAGTTAGGTATTGATGGAATGTATCTCAAAATAACAAGCTATTTATGACAAACCCACAGCCAATATCATACTGAATGGGCAAAAACTGAAGCATTCCCTTTGAAAACTGGCACAAGACAGGGATGCCCTCTCTCACCATTCCTATTTAACATAGTGTTGGAAGTTCTGGCCAGGGCAATCAGGCAGGAGAAAGAAATAAAGGGTATTCATTTAGGAAAAAAGGAAGTCAAATTGTCCTTGTTTGTAGATGATACGATTGTATATTTAGAAAACCCCATCGTCTCAGCCCAAAATCTCCTTAAGCTGATAAGCAACTTCAGCAAAGTGTCAGGATACAAAGTCAATGTGCAAAAATCACAAGCATTCCTATACACCAATAACAGACAAACAGACAGCCAAATCATGAGTGAACTCCCATTCACAATAGCTTCAAAGAGAATAAAATACCCAGGAATCCAACTTACAAGGGATGTGAAGGACCTCTTCAAGGAGAACTACAAACCACTGCTCAATGAAATAAAAGAAGACACAAACGAATGGAAGAATATTCCATGCTCATGGATAGGAAGAATCAATACTGTGAAAATGGCCATACTGCCCAGAGTAATTTATAGATTCAATGTCATCCCCATCAAGCTACCAATGACTTTATTCACAGAATTGGAAAAAACTACTTTAAAGTTCATATGGAACCAAAAAAGAGCCTGCATTGCCAAGACAATCCTAAGCCAAAAGAACAAAGCTGGAGGCATCACACTACCTGACTTCAAACTATACTACAAGGCTACAGTAACCAAAACAGCATGGTACTGGTACCAAAACAGATATATAGACCAGTGGAACAGAACAGAGCCCTCAGAAATAATGCCACACATCTACAACCATCTGATCTTTGACAAACCTGACAAAAACAAGAAATGGGGAAAGGATTCCCTATTTAATAAATGGTGCTGGGAAAACTGGCTAGCCACATGTAGAAAGCTGAAACTGGATCCCTTCCTTATACCTTATATAAAAATTAATTCAAGATAGATTAAAGACTTAAATGTTAGACCTAAAACCCCTGGAAGAAAGCCTAGGCAATACCATTCAGGACCTAGGGATGGGCAAGGACTTCATGACTAAAACACCAAAAGCAATGGCAACAAAAGCCAAAATAAGCAAATGGGATCTAATTAAACTGAAGAGCTTCTGCATGGCAAAGGAAACTACCATGAGTGAACAGGCAATCTACAGAATGGGAGAAAATTTTTGCAATCTACCCATCTGACAAAGGGCTAATATCCAGAACCTACAAAGAACTCAAACAAATTTACAAGAAAAAACAAAAATTCCCTCCAAAAGTGGGCAAAGGATTTGAACAGACACTTCTCAAAAGAAGACATCTATGCAGCCAACAGACACATGAAGAAATGCTCATCATCACTGACCGTCAGAGAAATGCAAATCAAAACCACAATGAGATACTATCTCACACCAGTTAGAATGGCAATCATTAACAAGTCAGGAAACAACAGATGCTGGAGAGGATGTGGAGAAATAGCAACACTTTTACACTGTTGGTGGGAGTGTAAATTGGTTCAACCATTGTGGAAGACAGTGTGGCAATTCCTCAAGGATCTAGAACTACAATTACCATTTGACCCAGCAATCCCATTACTGTGTATATACCCAAAGGATTATAAATCATGCTACTATAAAGACACATGCACATGTATGTTTATTGTGGCATTATTCACAATAGCAAAGACTTGGAACCAACCCAAATGTCTATCAATGATAGACTGGATTAAGAAAATGTGGCACATATACACCATGGAATACTATGCAGCCATAAAAAACGATGAGTTCATGCCCTTTGCAGGGACATGGATGAAGCTGGAAACCATCATTCTCAGCCAACTATCACAAGGACAGAAAACCAAACACCGCATGTTCTCACTCATAGGTGGGAACTGAACAATGAAATCACTTGGACACAGGGTGGGGAACATCACACATCGGGGCCTGTTGGGGGGTGGGGGACTGGGGGAGGGATAGCATTAGGAGAAATACCTAATGTAAATGATGAGTTGATGGGTGCAGCAAACCAACATGGCACATGTATACCTATGTATCAAACCTGCACGTTGTACACATGTACCCTGAACTTAAAGTATAATAAAAAACAAAAAGGAAAAGAAAAAAAAAAGAAATAATGATGCTGTGGTTTTACTGAACATATAAAAAATTATTAAAAATAGCAAATAAAAAATACATACTGGAATCTAAAACCACATATCCTCCTGTGGGAGTGCTGTACACTCTCTACGCCCATAAAGATTCCTCCGAAAGCAGCAATGATGCCAGACATCATGTTGCGTACACAGTGGTCTCCTCTTATTCTCAAGAGGAGAATAAGGCACTAAAATGCTTAGAGTGTTACTTCTTGCTCTCTGGGGTAAGGAAAGAGGTGTTAAGTACAAAAATAACTCTATCTCAAAGACAGAGCGTCTGCCAGAAGAATCATTTTTGGAACATCCTCTAAATACTAGTGCATATAACTCAGTCCTTTCAAAGAAAAGCCTAAATCCACACGTCCAAACCCTGCCCATCCTTGAGAGTTAACTGAAGATGCACCTTCTTAAAAAATCATTGTTCAAGCTGGGCAGGGTAGCTCATGCCTATAATCCCAGCACTTTGGGAGGAGGCAGACGGATTGCTTGAGTTCAAAAATTGGAGACCAGACTGGGCAACATAGTAAAACCCCATTTCTACAAAAATATCAAAAGTTAGCCGGGCATGGTGGTGTGCGCCTGTGGTCCCAGCTACTTAGGAGGTTGAGGTAGGAGGATTGCTTGAGCCTGAGAGGAGAGGTTGCAGTGGGCCAAGATTGTGCCATTGCACAGCCTGGGTGACTGAGCCAGACTTTGTCTCTGAAAGAAAAAACCCCACATCATTCTTTGTCTATTCCAGTTCTTAGTGAATTCTCTCTACAGAATGACTGCACTCACTATGGCAGGTATTAATAATTTAATCATTGATTTGACATCTCTTACCATTTAATTTTTATATTACTTAACTCTATGACGTCCTAATTTATAAATAGCATATCTAATTCCTAAATGAATGAGATAACAGTTCTTAAATGGTTATTTATTTACATACATCTTGTACTCTAGAACAGATCTCTCTCCTACATCTTGAGGCCCAGTGTAATAATTTGCTTTATCTCCCGTGGTCCCCATAAGTTGTAATCTAACAGTGATACAGAGATGCTCCGGCTAACAGAACTCTAATATACTGTCCCTTCATTATCTACATGCTGGAGCATGTGCAGATAAATAAGAAACAATGGAGGCCAATAATGATTAAAATCAAAGATGATTTTAAAAGATCCTTTATATGTATCCTTTATACTTTGTTAGCTGGGTGTGATGACATGCACCTGTGGAAAGCTGAGATGGGAGGACTGCTTGCACTTAGGAGCTCAAGGTCAGTCTGGGCAACATAGTGAGACCCCATCTCAAAAACAAACCAAACAAACAAAAACATTTTCTTCACTAGGCTACAGGGGAAAAAATTAAGGAAGGCAAAGAAAGAAATATATATGAAACTTACCTTGCCTGTGAATCATGCCCCCATGCATAATTCTTGCAACAATACAATGATTTAGTTCATTCATTTTTAAAGTGATTCCCTGTAAAAAAAAAAAAAATAAAAAGTTCAGTAAAAGTAGAATTACTATGATAGTACTTCTCTTAATATTTATGATTTTGCGGTAGGCTATAATAGAATACATACATTTTATATAATGCTTTTAACACACTATTTTCTTTTCTTTTTTTTTGAGACAAGAGTCTCATTCTGTCACGTGCAGTGGCACGACTGCAGCTTACTGCTACCTCCACCTCTAGGGTTCAAGTGATTCTTCTGCTTCAGCCTCCTGAGTAGCTGGGATTAAAGGTGCCTGCCACCATGCCAAGCTAATTTTTGTATTTTTAGTAGAGATGAGGGTAAGGAAAGAGATGGTTCACTATGTTGGCCAGGCTGGTTTCAAACTGCCGACCTCAAGTGATCCACCTGCTTTGGCCTCCCAAAGTGCTGGTATTACAGGTGCGAGTCACTATGCCTGGCCGATAGTGCTTTTAAATCTTCTAATTATGATTATTTTCCCTGTTGCTCTATTTTTAATGTTGCCTATTATTTTTAAAAACAGTTTTTATTGATATATTATTGACATACACATATTTAAAGTGTACAATTTGATAAGTTTGACATATGTATGAAACTATGGCCACAATCAGGATAGTGATATATCTATCATTCCCAAAAGTTTCCTCATGCTTGTTGATAATATTCTCCCATCCCTCCATACCCTCCCCACCACATCCCTAAGCAACTACTAATATGACAATCAAAAAGCTGATAATATAGTTGTCGACCAGTCAAATGCTGATACAGTCAACTTTTGCTGACTACAGATTTGTTTGCACTGTACATAAATGAAATCATACAGTATGAACTCTTTTTTGTTGCTTTTTTCTCTCACCATAATTATTTTGAGATTCCACCATGCTGTTGCATGTATCAGTAGTTTGTTCTTTGTTCTTGCTGAGTGGTATTCCATTGTATGGACGTATCAGTTTATCTACTCACCCACTGAATTGTTTTCTGGTTTGGGCTATTATAAGTGAAGCTGTATTCCTGGGTTAATCACCATTTGCTCATAACATATATATATATTTAAGATCTGGAACACTTCATGCATTCATATGTCATCCTTATACAGAGGCCATAATAATATTTTCTTTACTGTTTATATTTCAGTATATATGCTGCTGAAGTGAGCACATATTAACCTTTTCATATATTGTTGGATTTGCTTTGCTAAGATTTTGTTTAGAATTTTTACATCTACATTCATGAGGGATACTAGTCTATAGTTTTCTTTCTTTGTAATGTCTTATCTGGTTTTGGTATCAGGGTAAAGCTGGCTTTCTAGAATGAGCTGGGAAAATTTCTTCTTTTTCAATGTTTTGGAAAGAGTTTGTATAGAATTGGTATTATTTCTCTATTGTATGTTTGATAGAATTTATCAGTGAAGCCATCTTGACCTGGAGTCTTCTTTGAGGAATAGTTTTTAACTACAAATTCAATTTTCAAATAGTATTGGGCAATTCAGTTTATTCCTTCTTAAATGAGCTTTAGTAGTTTCTGTCTCCCAGGGAATTTTTCCATTTTATCTAAGTTGTTGAATTTATTGGCACAAATCTGTTTATTTCCTTATCATCTTTTTTGTATCTGTAGACTCTGTAGTGATGCCCCTTCTCTCATGCCTGATATTGGTAATTCATGTTTTTTTCCCCCCGATCGTATAGTCATTTTTCCTGATCAGTCTGATCTTTCCAAAGAAAAAGTATTTTTTGTTTTATTGATACTCTATTGCTTTCTGTTTCCTATTTCATTAATTTCCACTTCGATCTTTATTATTTCTTCTCTTCTACTCATTTTGGGTTTCATTTACTCCTTTTTTGCCCTAGTTACTTTTAAGGTATAAGCTGAAGTCATTGATTTGAGATGTTTCTGCTTTTCTAATATAGGTGTTGAATGGTACATATTTCTCCCTAAGTACTGCTTTAGTGGTATCCTGCAAATTCTGATATACTGTGGTTCATTTTAATTCATTACAAAATGCTTTTTAATTTCCCTTTTGATTTCCTCCTTAGTCCATGGGTTACTTAGAATTGTGTTATTTAGTTTTCAAGTAATTGGTGATTTCTCTCTGTTATTCATGTCTAATTTAATCCCAGTGTGGTCTGAGAATATACTTTGATATCAATAAAGCTACTCCAGCTTCCTTTTGATTAATGTTATCATAGTATATCTTTTTCTATCTTCTTACTTTTATTTATTTATTTATTTATTTATTTATTTTTTAAGAGATGAAGTCTCACATTGTCACCCAGGCTGGAGCACAGTTGGTGCGATCGTAGCCCACTGCATCCTCGAACTCCTGGGCTCAGGTGATCCTCCTGCCTCAGCCTCCCAAGTAGCTGAAACTACAGGCATGCACCACCCAAACCTGGCTTCTACCTTTTTACTTTGAAACTATTTCTTGTGTATAAAGTGCATGTTTTACAAGTAGAACATGATGATTGATACAGTCTGGTATAAATATATATTCTTGCTATTTGACTTCTATTTGTTCCACCTGTTCTATGTTATCTTTTTCTGCCCTTCTTTGTATTATTTTTTATTCTGCTTTCTCTCCTGTGTTTTCTCTCACAACTCTTCATTTTATTGTTTTAGTGGTTGCATTAGGGTTTATAGCATCTACCTTCAACTTGTCAGTGTACCTTCAAGTGATATTATACCACTTCACATATAAGAGCCTTACAATAGTATATAGTATTTCTATGTCTTTCTTCCTGACCTTTGTGCTACTGTTGTCATACATTTTATTTTTCCATATACTATAAACTCTAAAACACTGCTGTTTTTGTTTAAATTGCCAATTATAAGAGATTGAAGTAATAAGAAAAAGAACTTATAGATTTACCCACATAGCTATCATTTCCAGTGCTCTTTATTCCCTTTTTGTAGACTCAGATTTTAATCTGTTATCATTTTCCTTCTCCCTGAAGAATGTCCTAAATATACTGTGAGTCTTCCAGTGTGGGTTGGCTGAATTCTTTCAGCTTTGGTACGTCTGATGACATTTTTATTTTGCCTTTATTCTTGAAAGATACCTTTGCTTGGTTTAGAATTCTAAGTTGAGAAATGTTTGTTTTTAGTACTTTATGACACTGTTCTTGTTTGTACTGCTTCTGATAAGACACTGATGTCATCCTTATGTTTGTTCCTCTTTGTGTAAAATTTCTTTTTTTTTTTTTTTTTTTGAGATGGAGTCTTGCTCTGTCGCCCAGGCTGGAGTGCGGTGGCATGATGTCTTGGCTCACTCCAACCTCTGCCTACCAGCCTCAAGCCATTCTCCTACCTCAGTCTCCCAATTTCTTTTCTTTCTTTCTTTTTTGCTCTGTTTCTCAGATTTTCTCTTTGTCATAGGTTCTAAGCAGTCTGATTATGATGTACCTTGGTATTGTTTTCTTCATGTTTCTTGTGCTTGGGGTTTACCATGGTGTTTGGATCTGTGGGTTTATAGTTTTCATCAAGTTTGGAATGTTTTCAGTCATTATTTCTTCAAACATTTCTTCTTTCTTTTCCTCTCTCTCTTCTTCATGAACTCCAATTAACCATGTATGAGGCTGACTGAAGTTGTCCCACAGCTCAGCCATGCTCTTTTAATCTTTAAAAATTTTTTTCTGGCTGTATTTCCTTTTGGATAGTTTTTATTGCTCTGTCTTCGAGTTCACTAATCTCTTCTGAAATGTCTAATCTGCCATTAATCCCATAGTGTATTTTCCTGCTAATTCTATTATCTGTCAGTTCTATGTCATTTTTGATTGATTATTCTCCATATTATAGGTCACACTTTTTGGTCTTTTTACATGCCTAGTAACCTTTGATTAGATGTCAGACATTGTGAATTTGTTGCATACTTGATGTTTTGTATTCCTAAAATATTCTTGTGTTTTGTTCTGAGACTTAGATCAGTTACTCGGACATAGTTTGATCCTTTAGGTCTTGCTTTCATGATCCATTAGGCAGGTTTGGAGCAGTTGTCAGTTTGTGGCTAATTACTTCTCATGACAGAGATAAGATTTCCCTGAGCACTCTACACAATGTGCCACGAATTAGAAATTTTTCTAGTCTGCCTGGTGGGAACAGATAGTGTCAGGTGCTGTTCCTTCCAATCCTTTTGGATGTTTTTTTTTCTCCATTCAAAGTGGAGAGTGTTGGGGAGTTTCTCAGTGTTGGGGAGTTTCCTATCAGACATGCAATGATCGATACTCTGCTGAATACTTGAGGGAGATCCTCTACAGATCTGAGGTTCTCTCTGTGTGCAGCTCTCTCCTCTTCAGTACTCTGTCCTATGAACTCTAGTTGCTTGGTCTCCCCAGACTCACAGCTGTGTCCCCTCAATTCAGGGAGTCTGCCTACTCTGCCTTAGTTCCCCTCCCTGTGCTATGGCCTGGAAACTCTCTGAAGGCAGCATGGTGGGGCATTCATATGGGTCACCTTGTTTCCTGTCTCATAAGAGATCACTGTCCTTAGTTGCCTGATGTCTACTGTCTTGAAAACTGTTCTTTCATGAAATTTTGTTTTTTATATGTTGGGTTGTTTCAAATGAGAGGATAAATCTGGTCCCAGTTACTCTATCTTGGCCAGAAATGAAAGTTCTACAGTCACATTTAATGCCAGAATACTATTCTACAGAGTAGATCACTTTTTGTTTTCTGATAATCCACTATTAAAAAAAACAAGCATTCATAAGCATATTTTTTGCACTAGATCTGGTTAATCCTAAGAATCACACAGGGAAATTTTAAATAATGCTGACTCTTAAACCCACTCTTTAGATGTAAGCTCAGGAGGCCTGGAATGCAGCCCAGAAATCTGTACTTTTTAACAGGCTCCCTTGCTGGAAAGTGGCCTTGAATTTGAGACAGTTAAGGGTAGGGACTGTGTCTCTTATTTTTCACTAGAGAATAACACTGTCGGAAAGCTTGATAAAAATATCTGAGACTTTATACTCTAAACTTAATTTGTACCATTCCACAAACTATAACTTTGCATGGTTCCTATTTTGCAGTTTTCAGAAGTGGTAGGCGAGCAATGTGAAAAATTGGTTTATCAAAATGTTTCCAGTCCTAAGATTCAATTGTAATATTCAAGTTTCATTTCCAACTTGTACATTCAATCAGCTTGTATGGCTACTAAGAGAAGTGTTCCTGGAAAAATGCTGTAAATTAGTGTGTAAGTCAAATCTAATTTCATAAGGGAAATGATAGTACAATAGAGGTTCCACCCTTGAAACTAATAGATTTATGTATTCATTCCACTAACATTAACGTGAACTTACTATGAGGCAGGCACTCTGCTAGGTACAGTAGCAAATGAGACAAAAAGGGTCTCTCATGGCCAGGGGAAGTTCACCTCAAACCAACTGTAGTTAACATTTATTATTCTGTAGGTCCCAAATATTTCTCTGTAGAGAGGAGCTGATTCATGTTCTCTCTGTTCCCAAGTTAACGAATTCTAGGGAAGGGATTGGCATAGCGTGGGTTAGGTGCCTACTCCTGAACCTACCAGCTTGAGGGGGGATATTAGGAAGGTTATACTCCTGGCCTTTCCCTGTTTATATAAGCCTTTCCTCGATTTTGTAAGCTAGTTCAAGCTTGGTTTTTGTCACTTGCAACTATGGGAATCCCAATCAATAAAAAAAATAATTATGAGTATGATGCTACAAATGGGAAAACAGAGGTGTGTAACAGGAGTATATCACCCTTGGGGAATGGACACATTGTAGAGGGTCTGAAAAACAAAATAGATCACATAGGAATATCCTGCACAGTAACATAATGCTTTGAATAAGACAACTAAGAAAGCAAATAAAGTTGTATTAAGTGTATTAGAGATTTATATTCTATTATTGAAAATATATATTTTATATTTCACATAAAATAATTCCTGTTTTCATGGAAACTCATCAAAAGGAGAAGAAATATACCTCTTCACTAGGATCACTAAAGGCAGAAGAGCTTTTGGAAGGAGACTTTCAGGGGAGACTCAACACCATTTTATGCTTTCTGAAAAGTAACTCAGGGATGTAGTTTTACGCTTTTATTCAGTCTATGTTTCCTTTCTTTTTTTTTGAAACAGAGACTTTCAGAGCTAGGTGGGATCCTGGGGATCATTCATTTAGTCAACTATGCTTTTAGAGATGAGCCAGCTGAGGCCCACTGACATGAAGTGATTTGCCCAAGACACCCAAAACCTGCTGTAGCCTATGCTCTCTTAAGCCAAAGAGTTGTCTGGATAGTACCAGAAGGGGTGAGGTGATCTGCATGCCCCCATGTGCTGCAAGATAATACTGTATAACGGGCAAAGATTACTAAATGAGAATTAGGACAAGAAATGTCTAAGCTGAGGGCTCGCCAAAAATCGTGGTCATAGAATCACTGCTTTATAACTTTTCCCTTAATCTAAAAGGCAACTTTTAGAAGTAGGTAAATTTGTTTTTCTATATCCTAATATCCCTTTTCTATGCTCTCAGGAAAAAGATATGAATGCGTAAATTTGAATTTTTTTCCTCTTGTAAAGATATGGTTTCTCCTCCAACTTGGAACTTATCCGATGTTCCCTGTCTCAACGTCCATTCAGTTTTAGAAACCTAAAGCTTAAGGGCTGTCCTTGATCCTTGCTTCTCCCTCAGTCCCATTGTCAATCCATTGTTAAGGCTTACTGATTTTACTTACTCTTTCATTATTTCTTAAATGTGTTCACTTCTTTCCATCTTGACATCCATCCCTCAAGTTCAGAGTTCCATGATATCTGCCCTGCGCTACTGCAGTAACAGCCTCTTAACTGGTTTCTGTACATCCACTCTTGACCCCTCTCATACATTCTTTAGAGTGATATTTTTAAAACGAAAATCTGATATTATCCTCCTGCTTGAAAGTCTTCAATAGCCTCCCATTGTTTTTAAGATAATGAACAGAATCCTTAACATGTGTTCCAACACTTGTATGATTCTGTTCCAGCCACTCACCTTGCTGTCTGCAGTTCAGCCATGGTGCCTTCTTTCCATTGGGAAACTATGATAAGAGCCTTTACCAGGTTTACACATGTGCTATCTGGTTTGCCTGAATGGTATCCCCCTGCTTCCCTCACTCCCCTTGCTCTGTTCAGTTAACATCAAGGAGCCTTTCCTTGATCTTCTCAGTCCACGAGAATTCTATGAGAATGATGAGGCAAGGTTCAGCATCAATTCTATTCCAGCTCTACTCCCAAGCACTGAGTAAACTGATTCATATTAAGTGGGTAGGTGGGAATGGAAGAAATTTCATTTCAGCAATGTTACTCAATTCTTTGAATGCCCCATGAATTAATCTTCATCTAATTTTGTTGAAGGCAAAAGATCTGAAAACTATAAGATTTATAAAAGGATGATTTTTACAATGTTACTAGACATTCACTTTCTCAATACCAATACAAATACGTCAAATTGTCCTTTCTTTGCTGCCCCAGAGGTTTTTACACTCTGGAGGAATGTTACAGTATGTTCCCCTTTTTTTGGTTGAAGGGCAATTGTGAAAGGAGAGGTGAGAAAGAGAACCAGCATGCCTAAGACACAGTGTCAGGCAGAACAATTCTAGAAAAGAAGGGCAGGGGGGAACTGAAGATCTGGAAACATTTCTTTAAAACTATTAATGTCTTCCCTCCTTCCCCAACTCCTAGTAGCATAGGTTGAAGTTAGCTGATCTAACCCATGCTGGGATTTTATGAGAGTATTGAAAATTTTCTTTTCCTACTTACCATTGGTTCATCTGTGTTCTTTTGGAACTGTACCAGCCGAACTCTGGTCACATTCTCCATATCCATGTCTCCGTTAGCACTTTCTGGAGAATCGCCGTTTAAGTAGGGAGAGGTGGGAGGAGGTGTGACCCTCAATGCTTCATCACTGTAAACTTCATGTGCCACTACGTCGTGTGTCTGAAGTAAGGCCTAATGTTTTATGAAGAAAAAAAAATTAATAACATTACTATTTCAGCAGAAATTTATTTTTAGTTATTTATTTATTTTGAGACAGGATCTCACTCTGTCACCCAGGGTGGAGTGCAGTGGTGAGATCTCAGCTCACTGCAGGCTTCATCTCCTGGGCTCAAGCGATCCTTCCTCTGCAGCGTTCTGTGTAGCTGGGACCACAAGTGCATGCCACCACACCCGGCTAATTCTTAAAAGTTTTTTTTGTAGACATGGGGCCAACAAATTTATTATATAAACATATCTCATTCTTTTCCTCTCAAAGGTATCACTCATCTAAAGAGAACATAAAGTATGTAATATCGACATACAACTATATCTCAATTTCTTTGTGACAAATAATCATGATAAATAGATTTTTAAAAACATGAGTGAATAAATGAGTGAATCAATGAAGAGATGTGTTTGATGACTATCTGGGTCAGAAGTGTTATCAACTAACTTGTTCAAATGAAAGCAGACGGTACAATTTCAAATAATTTAGCCAAAAGAATCATCTATAAATAGAGTTGGCAAATTTGTGCTGGGGCTTGGAATTGAAACAAATTTAAAAAGAAATGGTGCAATAATTGGAGTATTGAGCAAATATCTTTCATCAAAGCACTTACAATGACACTTTTATATAACTCAAAGGATGAAAATAATTTATAGCATATGATTTAGAAAAAGAAAAAATATACATACAGATGTACCTTAAAAATGTAATCTTCCAAAATATCACATATGATATGGAACTCAAACTCTAAACATGTTAAATTGTTTTGTTCATTATATTTTTTGGAGCACTTGTTTAAATAAAAAATAAGTTGAGAATTATTATTATGACTTCTTTTTGCAAAGCCTATTAACAAAGAGAAAGTGATTTCTTTGTACTGACATCTCTATTTGTCAGCTTGGTGAACTTCAACAATAAAATGTCCCTTGTTGGCCGGGCGCGGTGGCTCAAGCCTGTAATCCTAGCACTTTGGGAGGCCGAGACGGGCGGATCGCGAGGTCAGGAGATCGAGACCATCCTGGCTAACATGGTGAAACCCCATCTCTACTAAAAAAAATACGAAAAACTACCTGGGCGAGGTGGCGGGCGCCTGTAGTCCCAGCTACTCCGGAGGCTGAGGCAGGAGAATGGCGTAAACCCGGGAGGCGGAGCTTGCAGTGAGCTGAGATCCGGCCACTGCACTCCAGCCTGGGCGACAGAGCCAGACTCCGTCTCAAAAAAAAAAAAAAAAAAAAAAAAAAAATGTCCCTTGTTTCCCTGAAAAAGAATGTCCTTCTACTGACCACACTTTTTGTGCCATCATAATAAACCCTTTTTAATAAGCATAAATATTTGAACATTTCTATTTCAAAGAGAATCTATAGCTATCGGAATGTCTGGAGCTTTACACAGATTATATTTTCTTGTGTGCTAACTATAAATTCGGTTCTATTTTAATTTGTGATCTGTGTGGTAATGAGATATCTGCAGATAATGAAATGCAATTAAAATTGCTTTAAAAATGTAACTCATAGCATCTGAAATTAAGTTATTTTATTAAAAGGCTTAAAAAAGTCATGACTTGGCTATTTTAATTTTAAAGGCATGCATACTAGGCAAAAAAAAAGGTTAACAATCTGGTAAAATCATAAAGAAGATAATGCTGATTTGTCACCAGTAAAGAATATGCCTTGAATATTATACACAGTTGGGTTTCTAATGGAAATGGCAGATATTTTACATAATCTCAGAAGACTGGTCTAAACTGGGATTTGGGTGAGGAGCACCAAGGGGCACTAAGCAATACATAGCTTGAAAGTAGGGCTCCGTGATGGCCCTGGGGACCATGGCTTCCTCACCAGTACCCTGACTGCACCCTGTACTGGTACTCCTGAGCCCAAGTATAGAGGCTGTGCTATGTGGGCAAATCCCTCTTTTTCTGATTTAATTGTGGTCACGTAAGAAACTAAGATTTAGGACAAAAAGCAAAAATCGGTAACATAAAAACTGGAACATTTCATTTGCTAAAATTATGTTTGTCATATCACTGCAGCCTTGACCTCTTGGGCTCAAGTGAACCTCCCACCTCAGCCTCCCGAGTAGCTGGTACCACAGCCATGTGCTACCACACCCAGATAATTGTTGTATTTTTTGTAGACACGGGGTTTTGCCATGTTGCCCAGGCTGATCTTGAACTCCTGAGCTCATGCAATTCACCTACCCCAGCCTCCCAAAGTGCTGGGATTACAGGCCTCTACTCATTCTTTTAAATTATATAAGCAAACATTTGTATTTAATGCATTATTTACAAGGAAGGATAAGCCCACAATAATAAAATAATACCCAAACTGGACTTTAAAAGAAATATGCTCAAATGATGTCACCAAATAAGGTCATACTCAATATTAACCACAATTTGGCACTGTAAATGATTGCTACCATAAAATGAAACTTAACCTAAAGTTCTAATTCATATCCAAACAGAAAAAGGGGGCCACTTACAGACTATCTTTTTAAAAGCTTAAAAGAGTATGTAAAATAAAAAATAGAGAAACCAAAATTTGAACGTTTTTCTTCAAATATGTTAAGACATATGAGTGAGCAGTTGTTACTAAGCTGAAATAGCTGTCAGTTTTAAATACATAACAATCACGTAATAGGAAAAAAACACTTTCACTTTTTGTACTATAGTAAGGATATGTATAAGACAACTAACAACATCAGACTAGAGTGAAAAAATCTGACTATTTAATGTTTCATATTTTACAACTGCAACAAGCAAAGGGAATGTTCTTTTTAAAAAGTCAGCCTTTCAAATGGAACAACTAAAAAAGGAATCAGTGAGATAATATTCTTTTATGATGACCTCTAAAGATACAGATTTTAGGCCAGGTGTGGTAGATCATGCCTGTAATCCCAACATTTTGGGAGGCCAAGGAAGGATGACTGTTTCAGCTCAGGAGTTCAAGACCAGTCTGGGCAACAAAGTGAGACCCCAGTCTCTACAAAAAATAAAAAAAAGTAGACAGGCATGGTGGTGCATGCCTGTAGTCCCAGCTACTTGGGAAGCTGAGGCAGGAGGATTGCTTTGCCCAGGAAGGCTACAGTGAGCTAAGAAGGTGTCACTGCACTCCTGTCTGGGCAATAGAGCAAGACCCTGTCTCTTAAAAAACAAAAACAAAAACAAAAAAAAACCACAGAGTTTTAAAGTTGTTTAAATTTACCCTTATTTCCTCTCCCTTTAGTTACTGTAAATATTTACAAGTAGCTGCATTTTCAGTGTTGGGCAATTCAATGTTAAATCCTCATGTTATAATAATCAGAAAGCAAAGAAAAATTTGGGTGACTGAGCAAATAAGTCTGAAATTATAAATATGCCAAGAATAACTCCCAAACCTTGGCATAATAAAAAAATTATAAGTATTAACATATTTCCCCTTAGCTATTAATATTTCTTTAAAAATACCAAGATTTTGAAACTATGATTTAAAAAATGCTTATAAGATAGAAAGCCTCAGCATCTAAAAGCTCATTTAACATAGCATATATCTATATATATCTATATATATCTATATCTATCTATATCTATCTATATCTATCGATATCTATCTATATCTATCTATATCTATCTATATCTATATATCTATATATATATCTATATCTATCTATCTATATCTATTATATATATATCTATATCTATCTATCTATATCTATTATATATATATCTATATCTATCTATCTATCTCTATCTCAGAATTATATTTCCCACATAAGATATTATCCACACATAAGCTTATTTGGGAATGACCAATGAGCTCAACTTAAATTTATTAGAAAACTGATTAGCATTAAATCAACTGACTTTTAAGAGCATGGGCTTTGGTGCCAGCAAGATCTGGCTTGAACCTCACTGAGGCCACTGACTAGGTGAGTGACCTTAAGCAAGTCTCTTTACCTTGTTAGGGCACAATTTCCTCTCTGAATTGTGAAATGGGTTTAATCACACCAGCTTATATCCCAACCACAAGCAAGTCCTCTTGTATGTAACCATCTCCAACACAGAAACCCCATCTGCCCATGTTCTACCATCCTCACCTTTCTCCAAGCCTCTATCACCTCTCACAACAGCCTTCCGATTGGTCTCCCTAAACACTTATCCCCGCTACAGTCCGTTCTCTACACATCAGCTCCAGCAAAGCACAGATCAGATATTTTCCTGTGTGCCATCACTTAGTGTCATCTCAATGCAATCAGGAGAAAACTGTAGACTCCCTACAATGGCCTGGAAGGCTTTTATTTATTTTTACTTTTTATTTAGATGGAGTCTCACTCTGTCTCCCAGGCTGGAGTGCAGTGGTGCAATCCCAGTTCACCGCAATCTCTGCCTCCTGCGTTCAAGAGATTCTCCTGCCTCAGCCTCCTGAGTCGCTGGGACTACAGGCGCCCGCCACCATGCCTGGCTAATTTTTGTATTTTTAGTAGAGACAGGTTTTACCATGTTGGCCAGGCTGGTCTCGAACTCCTGACCTCAAATGACTTTCATTCCTCAGCCTCCCAAAGTGCTGGGATTATAAGCATGAGTCACAGTGCCTGACATTTTTTATTTTTTGAGACAGGGTCTCGCTCTGTTGCCCAGGCTGAAGTGCAGTGGTGCCACCATGGCTCACTTCAGCCCTGACCTCCCAGGCTCATGTGATCCTCCCACCTCAGCCTCCTAAGTAGCTGGGACTACAGGCATGTGCCACCATGTCTGGCTAGTTTATTTTTAATTTTTTGTAGAGATAGGGTCTCCCTATGTTGCCCAGGCTGGTCTTTAACTCTTGGGTTCAAGCAGTCCTCCTGCCTTGGCCTTCCAAAATGCTGGGATTACAGGCATAAGCCACTGTGCCTGGTCCAAAATTTATTATATATCTGTTTCTAGCTATGGAACACTGCACAGAGCAGTTAGCCAAGGACAGGCTAACCTATCTGAAAATGGGCAGGTTCCTAATCCATTCAAGGTTTTACTGATAACTTACTATGTGCCCTATAAATGATAGATACTATGGAGCAACTAATAATAGGTATTAGATAACATCTATTAGGCATTAAGCATATGTCAAGCATTGTGCTACGCACAGTAGATATATCAGCTATTTAATTCTTATTCTGACTCCACGAGTCAGAGTTCATAAAGTTAGGGTGGCAAGGATGGAGTTCAACCCCAGGTCATCTGAATTCACAGCTTTAACCACTTTTATACTATAGAACAGTGGTCCCCAACCTTTTTGGCACCAGGGACCCATTTTGTGGAAGATAATTTTTCCACAGATGGTGGCAGGGTGGGTGGGGGTGGGGGACAGAGGTCAGGGGATGGTTTTGGGATGAAACTGTTCTACCTCAGATCATCAGGCATTAGATTCTCATAAGGAGTATGCGACCTATATCCCTCGCATGCACAGTTCACTATAGGGTTCCCGCTTCTATGAGAATCTAATGCCTAGGCTGATCTGACAGGAGGGGGACACAGGTGGTAATGCTTGCTGGCCTGCTGCTCACCTCCTGTTGTGCGGCCTGGTTCCTAACAGGCCACGGATGGGTACTGGTAGTGGCCCAGGGGTTGCAGACCCCTACTATAGAAGACTTGCTGTTTAAAAGGGAATGAATTATAATCTGGGGAAACACAGCACATATGCATGGAACAGTGAACAAGATAATATTAACGGTAATTTTACTGCAGATATTTGTGATTCATCAAATTTGAGGATTATTAACAAAGCATATAGTTTCTTCATTCTCCTGCTCTGTGAAATAGAGATAATCACAATGACTAAATGAGATCATAAGCTCAATGAGAACAACAAAATTGGGCCGGGATATGGAAGGACAAAAAAAAATTGCCCTGGCTCATTCACCAGGAAGGGACCTGCTCTGGCAGGCCAGAAAGCATTAGAATGTTATGCAGGTGAATACAAACAAGTGGAAAACAGTTAGAGAAGAGAAAGTCCAAGAGAAGTGTAGAGAGGTTACAAGAGATCTTGACAACAGAGGTGAGATTTGAACGAAGTTCTGTGTTTATGCACCTAGGTTGTAAAAATGCACTCATCTACAGGCATTAGAACCTGTATCCTAATGGTAATTCATTGGACAGTGCTGTTATCATAGGATAAAGTCAAATACTCTCAGGGATTATACTTGAATTCAGCATTTAATGCTTGGGTGGGAGAGTTAGGAAGGATGAATATGGTAATTGCTTCTTTCCAGGTAGTTACTTTGAGGAAAAAAAAAATTATTTCAATAACTTGGTTAAAGGTTTAGAAACACTATCATAAAACAGCATATATATAATAACTCACAGGCAATTGCTTTGATACATATATTATACTCTTACTATTATTTTAGAAGTGTCACCTGTGGCCAGGCATGGTGGCTCATGCCTGTAATCCCAGAACTTTGGGAGGCTGAGGTTGGAGGTAAGGTCAGGAGCTCTAGACCAACCTGGCCAACATGGTAAAACCCCGTCTCTACTAAAAATACAACAATTATCCAGGTGTCGTGGTGCATGCCTGCAATCTGAGCTACTCGGGAGGCTTAGGCAGGAGAACTGCTTGAACCTGGGAGGCAGAGACTGCAGTGAGCTGAGATCGCACCACTGCACTTCACCCTGGGTGACAGGGTGAGACTCTATCTCAAAAGTAAATACATAAATAAAAATTCAAAGTATCATCTGCAATAGTAGTAATAAGAACAAGGCTTTTAAGTCAGATTTTCTCCCAAAGGGCAGTGAGGTAAATTTTCCACTTTTCACATATTTTCCCACATAAACTGATGTGGTTAATGCTTTTAAAATGGTATATTCAACATGAATTTCCATCTGTAATTGTGTTTTTGTATTGCAGTTAGGTAGATAAGCATGGACCTTTTTCCACAGAAAAGTATCTTATCTATTTTGAGCTTTGTTTAGTTATTTAGCTTTATATTTGGCTAAATACAGGTGTTATCCCCATTTTCCATATAGTAGAAATGAACCAAGAAAGTGCAGCAGTTTTGCATTGTCAAAAGAGATGTAATTCTTCCCATATATCAACTAGATTCAGACAATTCTTTATTATTGAAAACTGTCTCTAATTTTAGTTCTTTGTGGTTTAAGTAACATAAACAGTTCCAGTGACTAAAGGACTATCCCATAAGAAAGAAAATCCCTTGTCTGATGAGTATAGTCCCTGAAAAGCCACTTCACCAAGAGTATCTTTACAGTTGTGACACAAAGTAAACAAAAGAATCTTAAAATATTTGGTATTACCTGGTATTGTAATCTTAGTAGTCTCATATGATATGGATAAAAATGCATGAGATGAAGCTGGCTACATTTTATGAGGGTAGTTTAAAAACTTCTTTTGAAAGTGAGGTTTCAGTTCTATGGAAGTTTAATTATTACTTACCATGAAATGAGGTTGTGTTAAAATACGCTTTAGTTCCTTTGCGTCGTTATTCTCAGGATAACATGAAATTTCTTCCAATACCTGAAAAATAAACAAGATATGTAATAGTACAAACATGATACAAGATTTACATAATGTTAAATTCTTTTAAGTTAAAAATTATGAATGGATTTTTATGGCAGGCAAAACAATTATTTTGAAAAACTTTTCATTTTATTCAAATGTTATTAATACATAGAAGAACAGTATTGATGGTAATAAAAATGAAGCAAATTGTTCTAATAGTCTGTCAACTATAACCTAAAAAGTTATTGAAAAATACAAAACAAAATGACAAGCCTGCAACATATATTTATTACGGATTTATGAAACTTAACGGAAGAATATCTCTGAATATCTTTTTCCAAACTCACCATAAAAATCAATATGGACAAAAAGTTAATAAGAAGTTTTCTTTTATATTAACAGCACTGCCAGTTCCCTTTAGAAATGTCAAAATGACACTGGCACAAATAAAAATGATTTCAAGAACAGTACTAATTAATTAGACTACTTCATTAAGAATACACAAGTAATTTTTCTTTAAGTAATGTAGAAAATGCAAAAATGCCTGCCAGATCAATGTTATTCCCCATAGTCATCTGCCCACATAGAGAAAGCCATGCCTCTGCTAATGGCTCTTAGGGTTAAATGCCAGGGAGCCTAAGAGAACAATTTTTTAAAGCCTTATTTTTTCTTTCCACTCAAATTTTCTTCACTAATTAGTTATTAACATTTTTCTGCACAGGTAAAAATGGTTATGTTCAAATAAAATTGTTTTCAAAAGTTCTCCTTTACCACCAGGATGGAGTTTACCTGTTTATTTATGGGACACGAACCCATGAAAAAGCCTCTGTTCTTTTTCTGAGTAAACACCTGCTGCTATTCTAACTGCAGACGGCTGGATTCAGAGAGGTTTGCATTACACTCAACTGAATTCCAACCATCAAGCCAATCAAGGATTGCTTCAGCACAACTGGATGGCAGGAGCATACCACCACTCATCCAGGAGGACTCTCACCTCAACCTGTGAAAACCATACAAAAGCTTCCTACTGGGGCAGGAGGGGATGTTGTGAGGTCACATGGCCCGAGCCTTAGATTTTAGCATCATAACTAGAATGTTCTGTGCTATTCAACTACTGCCTCAGGGAAGAAAAAACAAACAAGCAAAAATGACAGAACTTTCTTATCCAAATACCCTGTTCATTAGAGTGCTGGTTATGCTGTTAATTCATATTGTTTCAAGATGATAAACCAATTATCCTTGGTGTATTTTATGCTCTGAGTTTTTCTACTAGTGAAATGAGAGGACGAAACCACACACTCTCTCTGGGTCCTTGCTCCTCTCCTAGTTTATTTTTAAATACAGAGGTGTGGTATTTCCACACAAGCAGGGCTAGGGGAAAACCAGCAGGTTTTCATTGTCCATTTGAGCCAAAGAATTGTCCCCAGAGTCTCTGCTTCTATCCGCGTATTGTGAAGACAGGGTGGTGATTCATGCCTCTATCAGTGATACCTTAATTTCCTTCTATGAGCCCTCGGGGGCGAAGTCAGAGACAATTCCTCCAAGCTAGTCCTGACCAAGTGGGCAGGCCGGGCGGCCTCCACTGCCTGGGTCTCATTTCTCAGTAAACATACACCATGTTCCAGTACAGACTTTGTGTTTAAAATCTGGTAGGGAAGGGACTGTGTCCTTCATAGTCTATCACTTAGTAATTTCACTTTATAAGAAATAATTTTTCTAAAAGAAAATGTTTATTTGCACAAAGACTGACATGATCAAAAAATGAAAAGAAAAAAAAACCTATGTGTCTAACAATGGGAGAATTGCTAATATGTTATACTTTAATAATAGCAAAGAAAAATATTACAGTCATTAGAAGTTATATTTGTAAAGATCAAGTAGAAACATGGAACTATGCTTATTATATAACGGTAGGTTAAAAAAAGACACATTTTGATTACAACTATAAAAAATTTATATGCAAATGGAGAGTGACTGGAAAACGATATATAAAAATGGAAACTACTGTGTTAGGGTGATGAGATTATGGATCTATTTTTATTTTCCAAACTTTCTGCAATGTCGTGTTTCTATCATAAATAGGTTTTTAAAAGTTTGTGACAGATATAGCCACATACATTGACAATTTACAAAAATGACTTCTTTAAACTCAGTATATTTAATGCTACAGAAATTTAATTAACTTTCAAACATTACCACCTTCAAAAAGCAACTCAAATTTTTATAGCATGTCTATTTCCACCAAGTGTTGTAAAATAACTTTCTTTTTTAAAAAACAGAAAAAGAGAAGTAAAATTGATGGTAATGTATTCAAGTTTACATTGCAGAACCAGAACTAGAAATCTAGGCAATATTGCTGCAGAGATCTTTTTTTCTTTTCTGTATGTTCAGTAATAAACTTAGAAATACTAAATCTGAATATAATGAGTCAAATTGTGACTCCAGGGAAACTGCCTCTTAATGCACAACAGAAATGTCTTCAATAAAGGTAGCAAATATGATGACGCCAAATACTTCTATAAAATACATCACTTACCTCTTTGGCTCTCTGTACTGCATCACTTGGAGGATTCCTGATTTGTGGTGAAGACTTTGTGTTTATTTTGTCATACAGCTAAAAAGCAAAGAAGGAAATCCAGTAAACACTCACAATTCTTTGCTAAAATTCAGAGCTTTGTATTTATTATTTCACTAAACAATATTTTCCTTTTAAAAAGGCAGGCTGATGATTTCAGTGGGATCCTCTTGGTAATAACCTCTGAATTGTTCCGTGAAACTTGTCAGAATATGAGTCTCATGCATATCTTTTCAAAAAATCGCCTTTAAATAGATGGACCAAAATTCTGTCAATGTGGCAATTTCCTTGTCATTTTAAATTCGTCAATATTCCTCAATCACAGAGTTTGTTTCCTCTGACAGAAGGAATTTTCAAAAGCCTGAATATGGAGTGAAATGAAAGAATGCTTTCTGGCCAAGGCACGTCTATACGGAGTAAAATGAAAGAATGCTTTCTGGCCAAGGCACTCTATACGGAGTAAAATGAAGAATGCTTTCTGGCCAAGGCACGTCTGGAAGAATTTTCACAGAAACCTAAATCTTGGGAAAGGGCAAACCCAACTCCTTCTAGGAAGGAATGTTCTCACAAAGGTTTATGGTTGTTTTACTAGGGCTGTTCATTAACAGAATCAGTGGTATCTTTCAGCAGGAAGTCAAGGACATAAACTTTTTTTCTTTTGACTCTGCAACTTCAGGGTGGAGAAGACACTGAAAAGAGAGTAAATATACAATCGGCGCGATGGCTCATGCCTATAATCTCAGAACTTTGGGAGGCCAAAGTGGGCGGATCACCTGAGGTCAGGAGTTCGAAACCAGCCTGATCAACATGGCGAAACCCCATCTCTACTAAAAATACAAAAAAATGTGCCAGGCGTGGTGGTGGGCACCTGTAACTCCAACTACTTGGGAGGCTGAGGCAGGAGAATCATTTGAACCTGAGGCGTAGAGGTTGCAGTGAGCCGAGATCACGCCATTACACTCCGCCTGGGCAACAGAGCAAGACTCTGTCTCCAAAAAAATAAAAAAAGAAACTAAATATATTTCTAAAATTCCACAAACCTAAATATATTTCTAAAATTCCACAAACCTAAATGATCCAAAGTTCAGCTTTCTGAAGAACATACATTTAGAGAAAAATCTCTGTAGTTTAGAAATACAATTAAAATATTAATTTCTACCTCAAATAAAATGTTCATAGTCAACAGTCTGCTTTGAAAAGTGAAAAGTTAAAGATGACCTCAGCTGGTGTGAACACTTCTATTTCCTAACTTCTCTAAAATAGGTGGGGATTTTTGTTGTCAGTTTTGTTCTTTTTTTTTTTTCTTCACCTACTCTGTAACACCAATGCTAGTTGAGAAGTGAAATACTGACTATAAACATTCTTCAGATTACAGTCAGATTTGTTTATACTGATGCAAGATAAATTTTTATGACTTGTAAATATTTGGGCCACATCATACATAAAAATGCCTAACAAAAGCAATGTGAAGATAGAGCAGGGACAATTTTTTAAATGATGTATTAATTAAGAAAGCACTACTAAATCAGAGGATTAAATAAATAGTATAAGTAGACTAGTAAAATGCTGCTCTATTTAAAACATTATATTAACATTTTAGTGAACTGGTGATTTGTGGCTGGTCCACTAAAGTTTGCCCAAATTCCTGTAAAATATATGTGGGCAGTCTCCATCTCTGAATGCTTTCTATCTCTAAAGAAATGTCAATGTTGTACACTGGGATCATATTTTCCCACAAAAAATGTTATAAATAGTGATTAGGTTTCCAGACTAGCCTATAAAATGAATTGCACTGCACGCATGCAATAAAAATAGTAAAACAACAAAAAATCACCACCCAAACCCAAACAAAATGCAAAACCAAAAGAACTATGAAACCATGAAACACACCACACACACTACATTACATTTGCAAGATGAGTACGTTCTAGTGATCTGCTGTACAACATTGCGTCTATCATTAACAATACTGGTATTGTGCACTTTGTTTTTTTCTTTTTTTTTTTCTTGAGATGGAGTCTTGCTTTGTCTCCCAGGCTGGAGTGCAGTGGTTCAATCTCGGCTCACTGCAGCCTCTGCCCTCCTGGGTTCAAACGATTCTCCTGCCTCAGGCTCCTGAGTAGCTGGGATTACAGGCACGTGCCACCATGCTCGGCTAATTTTTTTGTATTTTAAGTAGAGATGGCATTTCACCATGTTGGCCAGGCTGGTCTCTAACTCCTAACCTTGTGATCTGCCCGCCTCAGCCTCCCAAAGTGTTGGGATTACAGGCTAGAGGCCACCGTGCCCGGCCAACAATACTGGTATTGTGCACTTTAAAATTTGTTGAGAGGGTAGAGCTCCTGTTAAGTGTTGTTATCACAATTAAAAAAATACATAACACTTTAAAAACACATTTAGTCATCACCTGATGTGTCATAATATTAATTATCAAGGAAAGTTTAAATAATCTAAGTGAATACATAACAATATTTTTATAAAATCTCAAACCCGGCTGGGTGCAGTGGCTCACACCTGTAATCCCAGCACTTTGGGAGGCTGAGGCAGGCAGACTGCTTGAGCCCAGGAGTTGGAGAACAGCCCGGGCAGCATGGCAAAACCCTGTCTCTGCAAAAGAAATACAAAAATTAGCCAGGCATGGTGGCATATGCCTGTATTCCCAGCTACTCGGGAGGCTGAGGCAGGAGGATTGCTTCAGCTCAGAAGGTCAAGGCTGCAGTGAGCTATGATCGCATCACTGCACTCTAGCCTGCGTGACAGAGCAAGACTTTGTCTCGAAAAAAATTAAAATAAAAAAAAATCTCAAACATGTTTGAGGAAAAGAAAGCAAATTTAATTTGAGGCTTTACAAGTTGATAGCACTATCACTTTATAATGTATAATTCCATGATAAACTAAGTTTTGCCTTTTTCTTGATCAAGGACTATTATCTTCAACATTTTCAACTATGATTATGGTTCGTTTCTATTTAAACATTTAATAAATGGACATCAATTTTTCTCACAAAGAAAAAATAATCCCACAACTCCCCAAATTGGAGACAATTTTTGGCCTGGTCTTACTATGTCAAATACAGTTGCTTAGGTCTTATATCTGTAATTTCTTAAGAATGTGTGGCAGGGGCCGGGCGCGGTGGCTCAAGCCTGTAATCCCAGCACTTTGGGAGGCCGAGACGGGCGGATCACGAGGTCAGGAGATCGAGACCATCCTGGCTAACACGGTGAAACCCCGTCTCTACTAAAAAATACAAAAAACTAGCCGGGCGAGGTGGCGGGCGCCTGTAGTCCCAGCTACTCGGGAGGCTGAGGCAGGAGAATGGCTTAAACCCAGGAGGCGGAGCTTGCAGTGAGCTGAGATCTGGCCACTGCACTCCAGCCTGGTTGACAGAGCGAGACTCCGTCTCAAAAAAAAAAAAAAAAAAAAGAATGTGTGGCAGAATCAGATGTAGTACTTATGAAACATAGATTCCTGGACCCCCCTTCAGACCTACTACATCAGAATTTAAGAAGGAGGTCCAGAAATCTGTGCTTTAATAAACTCCTTAGGTATTTGAAAATCTTATGTCCAGTGCTAACTTTTGAGAGTATTAATAGTACTACTACTTAATAGCAACAATGGTAATTACTACTTTTACTAAGCACTTACTAGATGATCATTACTAGTCTAAGCTCTTAACATATACTCATTCATTTAACTTCAAACAATCCTATGCAGTTGGTTACCCCACTTTAAGATGAGAAAAATGAGGCACAGAGTGGTCAAGTGAGAACTGCTGTTCTATCCGTACAACTTCATAGATGGCACACAAGTGCCTGGAATCTCTTTTAAGGCACTGCTCCAAGGAATATGTTCAGACCAAATTTTATTCCATACATTTGGTCTGGTCTGATCCAGTTGAATCACCTAAATTAAATTAAATTCACCTAAAGTTCAGTGGAAGTAGTGGCAGGGGGGAGTGAAGGGGAGGTGGGATGCTTAATATGAAAGGCAGATACAATGGGAAGGAATTAAAAGATGGGGCTTCTACCTGAGGTGGGGGCATTGGGCTCTGCTTCTTCTAAAAACTGCAGCTCTCAAGTCCTAGAAACTGCACCTGTCAAGCCAGCCACAGGATAGAGAGGATGGTGTCCATGTGGCAAAGAATACACTGTGAATCTCAGCTGCCGGTTCATCAACCAAAAGGGCAAGCAAGAACTGAAGCAGGAGGGAGTGAGGAATGGGCTTATTTTGTCACTGTCAGAGAGAAGTGACCCTTTGTTGGTTCATTCACATACCTATCCACTCAGTATTTATTGAAGTCTTACTATGTACTAAAATGTGGGGTTCTACGTACTAGGGATACAGAGATGAAAAAGATGAGAGTTCCTGTCTTCAAAGAGCTCACAAATTCCAAAAATCTGCATAACCAAAGGCCCAGAAATGTATGAAGGATTCATCCCTTTGGAGACCTGAGAGTAAGTAGTTTGGTCACCAGCAATTATCAACTGGCAATGATCTCAGTGGGCAACCCGAAGTTGGAGACTATCTTGATGTATATGCATAATATGTCAACCTTCATTTCTCCCCACCAACTTCTATATTTTTGTCTTAGAGACTTAAAATACTTTAGTGATATCCATAGCATATACAAAGCATTTGAGAAATATGGCAAAGCAGGTAAATAAAGTCATCAATGGAAAAAAGTTCGAATGCGATGTAACATTAAAGTGTTTAAAAACAGTAGTTAGAAACATAGTGCTTTTGGATTTCTCATTCTCATGGGTCATCTGCATACTATATGCTGCCTGCAAGGATATGCAGGACTCAAATTTCAAATCTAGGTAGAGTTTTGCCAAGGTCTGGGGCAAGTGAGAGGTAGCTGGACTTTGAGAACAAAGGAAGACTGCAGCTTGTCTTTCTTACCCTTTACCCACCCCCCATTCCATCATATATAAGAATCTATAAAATGTTACTTGGGACCTTACCAGTAGTCTTGGACTTTCAACTAAAGCCCAAAGCTAAGGCCAAGAAGAAGTAAATGGCACTGAACCTGCTATGAA